ATCATCATCATCATCATCATCATCATCATCATCATCATCATCATCATCATCATCATCATCATCATCATCATCATCATGATGTTCATTAGAATTAGAATTGTTCTGTTCTTTTTCATCATCCGCATCATCTTCCTCAGATAATTTTATGGACTTTTTCTCGAATTGTTCTAAAATCTCTTGCGCCTCTTTTATCGTTTTTCCACGTGCTTTGCCAGTTAAATCACTAATATACTCTAGAAAAATTCTAAAAAATTCGTTGGGAACCTATTTGATTTATTTGATCACGGAAAATTACTGTCAAAATCATCACGCAGATCAATTAAAACAAAAAAAATTACATTACATTATCTATATCATACGCATGTTGAAGTAGCCAAACTTGCCGTACTTTCTGAAATTTCCATACAGATTGGCGGTGCAGATACCAGGTGGCCAAATACCGAAGTGCTTATTTTGTGTACGTGCATGCGTGTAGATGTATTATGTATGTCATTGATTAGCGTTGCATTCATTGATAGTCAATTTTAATTTTTTTATTAGTACCTGCTTTTGACGAATCACTCGCGTTCTCCGGAATCTTTAACCCTGATGTCATCAGCTCCGCGGATAAAGTGTCGCTTTTTTGAGTATCTGCGCCATCCTTATGTTCCTCCTTTTCCGCTAATTTTTCCTTTATCGTTATATTTTTCAATTTTTTTTTCTTATTTTTGTCAAACGAATTATCTTCATCATAATTCTTTCGTTTCTTTCTTTCTTTTACTTTATCATCATCATCATCATCATCATTATGATTGTTTACGTTATCACTGACTGTTTTAAACTCGGTTTTTTTCTTGTTCTTTTTTAATGAATTCCCCTTCTCAAGAGAAGGCTGATTTTTATTTTCATGGACCAAAGGACTATCTATCTCCGAGATTTCATTTGATTCGATATCTGCTATTTCAGTAAAATTATTATCATTATTACTTCTAGATAAGCTACTCACGTTGTTACTATTGTATTTATTATTGTCTTTATTATGGTCTTTAAGACTTAGAAATTTTTTCCATTTTGGGACATGAGTATTGGTTTTACCAAAAGTAGCAGTAGGAGCGGAAGTGTTCGTTTCAGCTTCTGCCGTTATTCGTTGTCTCTTGGCTTTTTTGGGAATATTGGTGGTTATTTTTCCCTCCGACATTTTTTAAAGAGTCTATATGATCACAGATATTTGACTTACCGCGTTTACATAGTAGGTATATAAAAATACGATTGGATGATGAAAGTTGTTGATCGAACACAAAGATAAATCTATAAATATCAAAGTGCGCTGCCAATGTTTCGGCCCACAGCACCGCAGTATTAACTATAACAAACAAACACTGAAAGATTAAACCTATAAATAGATAGCGTCTGTCTTCAATATAACTTTTTTTTTACCAGACTTCGGTGTTGGTTTGGTTGGCCCACTTACTACTCCACATATATTGTATGTAATGCTGACAATTCACAAGCTTGTTTCTTTGTATCCTGTCTCGTTCTGTTTTTGTGTATACTCGTGAGTTGCCTTGCGTGTGTAATATTTAATAAGTAATAATAATAATTGTTATTTTTGTTATTTCAACATTTTGAAGAAATTTTGCATTACTTGCTTCTGTGGGTTGAAGCAAGTCAAAGAATTTGCTCTTTCCCGGGTGAACGTGAGTGGCGAGCCAGTACTATTCTTTATTATTTCTTTTTTGTGTGTGCGTGCGTGCTTATCTCCTACTCTCGATGTTTTCTACCTGGGACAAAAAGAATGGCAAAGAACTAATTAAGAGAAAGAAGATAATTCTTTTTCTGCTTTTTGATTATTTATTAAAATAATAATAATAATAATAATAATAATAATAATAATAATAATAATAATAATAATAATAATAATAATAATAA